TGTAGAGCTCCTCGCAGGCCTGCGGACGCTAACACCATCAGCAGAAAGCTTCTGGAAACCCCATTTTAAAACTTCATTGTTTCATCGTCATTTGACTGAAGTTCGGCTTTTGTTTCAAAGTCTACTCTCTAGATCTAGCCTGCTCTTCGCGTGGTTGAGACGACGGCATTGGCCGTGCTCTACTCTCAGACCATGTGAATTTATGTGCTGGCTTCCAGCTTCTGTCAACTTCCGAACACCACTGACACATCTCGGCAGACGACTCAGGTTATAAAGTATTGTTTTCGTATTAATATCTCAATGTAGCACATGTTCAATCCTATGGCGTCGTTGGTGTGATGCCAGATGATTCCCGATACAACGGTGTGCTTCTGTAGTAGCGCGCTAGGTCGATATCAATCAAACGCGCAACCACAAATCAATCGGCGTGCCATCGGTCTCCCGAAGTCTTTTTGATAGTCGTACCGCAACGACGGGCCTGAAACTAATAAGGAAGCGCTTGGTTAGTTAGGTGGAGAGAGTTCAAAAAGATGTGCTTCTTACTATGGCCAGTTACACATTTCCCAAATCTTAAGGACACCGAGCCCAAGTCACTTTGTTCGTCCGAGTCGGGTCGCCAGGCTAGCTCTTCCCTGCTTCCGAACGAGCGAAGCTGTCCCGAGACTTTCAGTCAATGCTTTCGACGTTGCTGACTTATTTATTTGTTTCCCCGTGCGCAGCAGCCAAGACACAGTGCCACAGCAGTCTTGGCATGAAAAACGCCTTGGGCGATTGCTGGGAATGGGAGGCCCAGAGCGGGCACAAGCAACAGGGGAGGACGACTACTTGAGCTCGCGGAACAACAGAACAACTTAACACATCATGAAGTGATCAGTTCAGGTTTGGGTTCCCTGCAATGCTTGGGGTGCGAAGTGTATGGACGATGGGGACAACAGGCGACAGCATTGGTGCCCGCACTTGCGCGCGGGTTCTTGGCGATGTTGTGGGCGCGCTGCAGCGGGGGAAAAAAAAAGTCTCCTCCAGAGCTCAGAACAGTTCGCGCCATAGCTCGTTGTACCGTTATGCGAAGAAGCCCCGCCCAGCGGTGCAGTAGGCCCAAACACATTTCTTTCCGGAGCGTTTCTTGTACATCTCTCGTACGTTCCCGAGCAAGAAGTGGTAATAATTTCACCGTTTGTGGTCCCAATCTGCTGTATATTTTTGTTCCTAACGATTGTATGGACCCCAGGCCACTATCATGTATTCTTGGTATGTATTGTGATTGGCAATCTCGGCTTGATCCAATAGCCGCCCCCGTAATTGCTTGTTGCGGATCTGGGAGGCTTATTCCCAGAAATTGGAGACAGCACAGTCGCATTATAAAACGAAAGTAAACCACCAGTAACATTCAAACAAAAAGCCAACGAATCAATACGACGCATGTTCCTTGGTGAGACCAGGATGTGGGTCGTGTGTAGTAGGCGTTCCACATTCCAGTTTAGGATGCACGATCTAGCACCAAGACTTGCCTCAATACATACTGCCACGAAGTCCCAATGACGACCATGGGTACGGCCACCATGTAGCGAAACCAACATTACATGTCCTTGTGGGTCCGGTGTATCGTACGTACTTGCTATACCGAGACGATGCCGAATGACACATTGTAGTGAGTCCGTCGTCAGCAAAAACCCCGCACACACACGAGAAGCCATAATGATGCAAAAGGCCGCGTGCCTGAGTACAGCGTGCGGGGGCATCACTTTGGAC